GGAAGAGCGAGGGCGAGGGAGATATTAGAAGGGGCAACAAAGAATTCTTACCCTAAAGGCGAAACTCATATGCAGGACGCGTGGTTCTTCCGACTTGCGAAGGTAATAGGAATATCGCGATATCGGAACGCCGCAACACCAAATCGTTCGGCCGAACTCGGATTTCAAACGGGATGGCGGCTTTTTAAAAACGCCGCCGCACCCTATAAGCTGCCCCAAATGGGCACTAAATGCACCCTTAAAACTTGGAAAAATCACGCCATGTGAGAAAAAAAATCGGTCTGGTTGTGTTATTTAGGTGTTATTGTATGCTATTCATGTATTATTGTGTTCTAAGAATATTCCTGATGTTATAATAACAAAATAACATATCAATAACACTTGAATAACATACAATAACACCTGGATAACACGGAAGGAATATTTCTCCGTGTTACACGGCCGATTTTTTTTTTCCTCAACGTGTGACATGATTTCAAATGTGACGTAATTTTATTGGACTCCGCACGTAATTCTACGTGTGAATTCCTAATGTAATATCTTTTCCTAAAACTCAGGATGTTATGTAAATAAATAATTTTGTGGAAATTGTAATTTTATTGGACTCCACACATAACTCTACGTGTGAATTCCTAACGTAATATCTTTTCCTAAAATTCAGGATGTTATGTAAATAAATAATTTTGTGGAAATGTTTAACCATTAACCGCCCCGAATTTTTTCGGTTAGTAATTTTTTGACGAGACCGCAAAACTTCGGAACTGCCAATCCATCCCGTTCAAAATCAATTGCCATAACAAAAAATAAGCGACATTTTTTCAAATTCACCCACAACTCACCATATCAGCTCTTCATCTCCCACAGCGGGTCAATTCGGGTGCTTGACTGACAGAATATCTGAAGACCCAAACCGCAGCTGTCGATTTTGAGACCGTTTTTATGTTCTCGGCTCGTTGACTGGGTCGTCTTCCTCCCTTCTCCTCTCTCTCTGCTTTCCTCCACTAAAATCCTCCTACCCCACGAGCTTTCCATGACCGGAAACTGTTGAGCACGAGCGCAGGAAGAGTAGAGCTCATGTAGAGAAACCCTGGCACCGACTTCACCGTCGTTTGATCGAAATGGACGGCGATTATGAAGGCTCCGCATCGCATAAGGCGCTCTGGCGCTCCGCCTCTTGGTCCGGCCGCACGTCGTTGGGGCCTCCCGGCAGGCCCCCGAAACCATCCCGGCCTCTCCAGCCCCTCTCTATCTCCCGCCAACGGGCCATCACCGGATGGCCCTGTCCTGCCTCCGATGACGCTGGCCACCCGCCTCCAACTCCGTCATCTGCCTCCTCAGATGATGACATCGAGTGCTCCCGTGTGGCCGAACATGTTTATCTAGGCAGCGAGGCCGCCGCGCGTGACCGGGAGGCGCTGCGCAGGCACGGTATCACTCACGTACTCAACTGCGTGGGCGGCGCTTGCCCGGATTACTTCCGCGGTGAGCTTTTCTACAAGACGCTGTGGCTTCACGACTCTCCTGCGGAGGACATCGCATCAGTCTTTTATGACGCCTTCGATTACCTGGAGGAGGTCCGCGCCGCCCGCCCACCGGGCCGCGTACTTGTTCACTGCCGCCGTGGGGCTTCTCGATCCGCCGCAATCGTCATCGCCTACCTTATGTGGCGCCACGCTCAGCCATTCGACGACGCCCTTCGGGCCGTACGCGCAGCTCGAGCTGCGGCTGATCCCAACCTAGGGTTTGCCTCCCAGCTTCTGCAGTGTCAGGCCAGGGTCCTCCTGTCGCCATCCTCTTCTGGCTTCCGCGCTTACCGCATGGCTCCCCATTCCCCCTCCGATCCCTTTCACCTCGTTCCTAAATCGATCTCCACCCCTGCCCGACTCGATTCTCGTGGCGCTTTTATCCTTCACGTTCCCGCCGCTGTCTTCGTCTGGCTCGGCCGAGGTTGCGATCTGGCCATGGCTGAGGCGGCCGCATCTGCCGCCCGCCAGGTTGCGCGATACGAGCGCGCTCGGGGGCCTATTGTGACCATCAACGAGGGTTCCGAGCATTCTGATTTTTGGAGCGAAAACCTCTGCTTAGCGGGAGAGGTTGGACAGCGGAGAGTTGAGCTATATGATATCGATTTCGAAATCTTTCGCCGGGCGCTAAAAGGTGAAATCGTGCCGTCACTTCCCTTGCCGGAGACTGTGGCCCCGAGTAAGCAGGAAACAAATGATGAAGAAGACGGCGAGCCGAGCTCGTACACTCCTTCATCCCTGTCGGCTGAAACTGCTTCGAGTGTCACAACCTTCTCTCCCGCCTCAACTTCTTCATCTGACGGTTACAATTCCTCTCCGTCGCGCTCCCCTGTGGCTGAATTGCTGAAGGTTCTGCTACCTTTAAACCATACTTCCAAGCTGCCTCCTCTGCACCCTAGGAAGGGCAAGGAAAAGGAACCTTACATGACAGTGCCTTCGCAGTCTCATGCAGTTCGCAGAAGTGGATCTGCCCCGTCCTTTCTTCTGTTACTGCGTTCGGAGATGGAAGTCGAGTCCGATTCAGTGCGTTTGGGTACCACCGAGGTTGAGGACGACATTAGTACCAGCGATTGCTGTTTCTTAAGTCACCCTTTTCTTTTCAAGTGGCCTGGAATGGAAAAGGTAGAAGAAATTCATGGCGGGGCACTTGATTCGAGCTCCGTGTTCATGCTGCTGGCACCAAATTCTTCAAGTTCTTGCAGGAGGAGGCAGACGACAAACATCCTCTATGTGTGGCTAGGAAGGAATAGCGATCCAGTTAAAGTTAGCACCTTTTTCGAATCAAGGAAAGAAGAAGCTCATGGCGAAGCTGATTGGGAGAAGATCACCACCGATTTTCTTGATCAAATGGGGCTTCCAGTTCGTTTTAATGTACAGGTATGAATCTCTTGTTTTTTTTTTTTTTTTCTATTTGCTTCATGGATTTTTTTTATTTTCTATTTGCTTCATGGATGTTCCTACACCCGAGTCTGCGTGATCAATTTACACAGTAAAGTTTGAACTGAGTACGTTACAGCAACTCGGAGGCTTTTTGTTAACGATTTTAGGTGCTTTAGTAAATCGCCCAAGTGCAGGAATTATAGCAAAACTGAAAAGAAAACTAAGAAGAAATCGGATTTATGGAATCCGGGATTTAAAAGAGCTGTTTTTATGGAATCCGGGATTTAAAAGAGCTGTTTTTGTGCTGTCCGGCAAAATTTAAGTTAAACCCATTTAAATCCATTACAACACAGACCCTTATAATTGAACTGTTGTTCTCTTTAGAAGACAAAAGATAAAGCTAGCTGCCTAAGATTAGTTTCTTAGGTATCCTTTTTTTATTTTAATGGGCAGGGTAAGCACTCTCTAGCTTGGCATGTTGAGATTTTTCACACTTTGTTAGGAAAGAATGGAGAAGAAAGGGTAGATTAGTTTCTTAGGTATCCTTTTTTTTTTAATGGGCAGGGTAAGCACTCTAGCTTGGCATGTTGAGATTCTTCACACTTTGTTAGGAAAGAATGGAGAAGAAAGGGATAGTTAATTGCATGGCATTCAGAATAGTGTTATTTACAAAACTAGCTTCCAGATAATTTTTTTAAGATCTGCATGCATACTACTGAATTCCAGTGAACTTTACATATCAAACACCAAAATTTCAATTTTTACATGCTCACGCAATGAATCTATGCTAGCCACGATCAAATCATTGAAATTTTGATCAAAATGAAAAATGTGGGTTTAGATTTGTTTTATCATGGCATTTTATATTTGAATGAGAATTTGAAAAGAGGGTTTTTTATTTGTAAGTTTTAGTGTTTAAATCACTATTTATGTATCATCCCTATTAATTTCAACATTGAGGTTATGCTCATATGCTGACATTTTTAGAAACTTGTATCAAATGAGCGCAAATCTAAATGCAAAATTAGTGTTGATAGGTTCCTTATGAGTATTTGTGCAATTAACTCAGGATTTTTTTTGGGGGCCATTTACATACCACACAATTCTTATGTATTTACATATCTAGCTCCCAAACTTTAATATTTACATGCATAGCACTCAAATATTTAATATTACATTAAAATTACCAGTCTCACCTACTTTTTAAGAGTAAAATACACTTTTTCATGGGTTGGTTTATCACACCGAAGTGTTATAAATGTAAATTCAAAAGTTTAAGCATTGGATATGTAAATACATAAGAATTGTGTGGAATGTATCTTTTTTTTTCTAAGAGATTGGGTTATAGTAGAAAATTGCATTTTTTTCCTGGTCCGCATGTGCCATTGCTGATCTTATTACATATTCAATATGGCGTTAATGTGCAAAAAGTCGTTTTTTTCATTAATGGATAAGAACAGAATAACAGAGAGACAGCCTATCCCTTTGAAGAACCTAACAAATTTTTTATTTGGTCGAGTTGACTAGAAGAAATTTTCTTTCAAACCTTCCTTGGAATCCAAATTTGGCAAGTTCGTTGTATAAGACAATAAAATAAAATTGACTGAGTAAACTCCTTTTGGATAAAATTAAGAAAAGAGTCTGGACATATCCAACCTGTTTGGCCTTGACCAGTGCTTTTGATGGCTTATGTATGTCCTGCTAATTTTGACTGATCAGAACAAGCTTCTTCTCCAAATTTAGTTTCTTCTGGGTATCAATGTAAAATAAATTCTATGGGGGGGGGGGGGGGGATTAGAATAAAGTATTTAGTTTTGTTTTTTATAATCTTTCACTATATACAGAGATCCAAGGATCATGTAATTGAAAGCAATATTTTTGGAATAAAAACATGCTTTCTTGTTGGGATTTTTACATACCAACCACCCAAAACATTTAATATAGCATCTTACTCACCCAAACTTTAAACATAATATTTTAATTACTCACAATCTTAAATATAACATTTTAACCATCTAAAATCTTCGCTCAAAACTTCATAAGTGAGTTTAGGATGATGGCTGAAAGGAAAAAGTGGTTAAAATGTTATATTCGAAATTTAGGTGATTAAAATGTTATATTAAATATTTTGTGTTGTTGATATGTAAAAATCCCTTCTTCCTTTTCTTAAACCTTGTGCTTTATTCATTTTTGTTCTTCTTTTCTTCTTTCTCTCTATAGCTAAAGAGAATTTTCATTGTCCCTTCTCTTCTATCAGCCATTTTCCTCCTCCTTCCTAATTATATGGCATCAAAATAAAGAAATATAGTTAAGATGATCATTCATGATATAGGGATTAGAAATGTTTAGATTCATGACAAGAAAATAAAATTGCAATTTTGGAATTTTGAAAGGTGGTCTTCAAGTATGTGGCGTGGAAAACGCGTAGAAGAGCAAAATTGTCAACCATTGGAGCAATCAGGAGGCCATTTTAAATGGCATTTAGGCAATGAATTCTAGATTGATTTTGTGACATTTAAAGGAGAAAATTGACTACAAATACAATTTTTTCTTGGGAAACTTACATCCCACTCAATTCTATGTATTTACATATCTAACTCCCGTATTTCAATTTTTACATATATGCCACCTTACCTATATATGAAAATGTGTACTTTACATTTAAAAAGTTAGAAGTTGTATTTCTCACGTTATATGAAAGATTTTGGTGGCATAAATGTAAAAAGGAAGTTTTGGGTATTATATATTTAAATAGATAGGAATTGAGTGGTATGTTTGTAAATGCCCCTTGTTTATTAATATTTACATATTAATTTTAATTTCTGATGGAACTGTGTTTGCATTTTTATTATTTTAGGGCTCGTTTGGGGCAGCTTATTGGGGTGCGGCTGCGTTTTCAAAATGCCGCCGCAGTATTTGAATACTGCGACTGTCCAACGTTTTGGAACCACACCCAAATGACGTTCGCTATTTTGTTAAGAGACAGGGACGCGGGATCGACCCCGCATCCTGCTTCTCCATTCTCGCGTATTCCTCCCGTGCTCCTCAGTCCTCACCTTTTGCTCGCCCTCTCCTTCGCCCTCATCTCTCTCGATCGATTGCGTACCTCGTCTCTCTTGATCGCGTCTCTCGACATCCTCGTAGACAGCTGCAACTTCTCCTTCCTCCCTCTTGTTCGAAATCCTTGCAGACTCGGTAGCTCCCGGCTTCGGCGATTTCTTTTACCTCGAAATTCTCCATGTCCGGCGATGTGATGCCGTGCTTTGAGTGGTTGCGGCGGTGAATCGAGTTCGACATATCACCTGACATCGTCTTCCTCTAGGAGATCTCTTATTCCGCTCTCAACTTCGGTTCCGCCCCCGTTGTTCATGTCTTTGCTTTCTCGCCACAGATTGTTTTCTCTTTCTAATTAGAGTCTAGGTCTGCTTCCACTTCGAAACTTGCTTCTACATTCAAAATTTATTTTGTATGATTGAACGAATGGAATTTTACTGATTTCAATATGAGAAGAACCCGTAGCGGCAATTTCTTTTTCATTTATAATGATTTTTTGAGGATATTTCTCAGTACCGTGCACGTCTTGTTAACCTAGACGCCATTAAGAATTTTAAGGGTGATCCTTGCTTAGGCATTCAACTTTGAATACCACTCAATTCTTATGAATTTACATATCTAACAGCTAAATTTTGTTTTTCACATTCTTACATTGAAAACAGGGGTCGAATGATCATTTATCCAACAACAACTGTCAGTAAGCTATTCTGAATAAGTTGTCCCAAGTAACAAGCCAGCTTATTCTGATAATCTGCAGATTATCAGAATAATCTGCTTATCAGCAGTTATAAATTATCAACAACTGCTTCAAACAAATCCTTAATCTTGTTTTTAATAGTTCTAAAGTTTATTTTTGGGTCTCTTTGGTTTTAGCTTCGGCTGTCTGTGAAACCAAAAGTAGTTATAAATTTAATCTTTGAAAACCCCATTTTGAAAGCTGTTATGAATCTTATAGACTTTATTTTAGAAAAGTTGGGCAACATTTTCTTGGAGAATTTATAAACATACCACATTTTTATACTTTTAGCACCTAAATCATTCATATCACTTAAAAAATAACACTATTTTAACTTTTAAATAATTAAATACACATTTTTATGCCTAGCGATTGTGGTACTTATGTAAAAATTTAAATTTTGGTGTTTTATATATATGAAAACATAGGAATTGAGTGCTATGTATGTAAATCTTCCTATTTTCTTATAGCTATCACATTTACAGGAGGATGTAACTTGGTGTCTGCTTTTCGCTATAATATCATTCTTGTTGATAAGATTAGAGAAAGAGTTCAGGAAAACTAGAATTATGAAAGTCTACTTTAGAATCTAAAGTCGTTTATTTGAATTGATCTAAAAATGAATATATAGATTGTAATTTTAGTAGTAGTAGATTTAGTGGTAGAGCTTTAACAATGAGTGATCAAATCATTAGAAGGAGTAAACATTTTAAATATCTCAGTTTTGTTGTTCAAAGTGACTGTGATATGGATGGGGATGTTATTAGTAGTATTCGAGTTGGATGGTTGAAGTGGAGGAATGCATTAGGCCTACTGTGTGATAGAAAAGTACCGCTTAGATTTAAAGGAAAATTTTATAAAATGGCGGTGAGACCTGCAATGCTTTATGTCGTAGAATGTTGGGCTTTAAAAGTGAAGCTTAAACTTAATTAAGTGTTGCTGAGATGAGAATGCTTAGGTGAATGAGTGGTTTTATGCTTAAGAGACAATGCGAAATGAATACATCTCTAAAAGGGTTGGTGTAGCTCCATTGGCAAACAACATTAGTGAGAGTCATTTTAGATGATTTGGTCATATTAAACATCGACCATCCGTTGATTAGATTCGACTTACGTTAAGAAATGTAGATAAAGACCTAAAAAGAACTTGCATAAAAAATTATTAAAATTTAATAGAATTAAATGAGAATATGACACTGAATAGGACACAATGGAGAAAAAAGATTCACGTAGGTTACCCTTGTTGTACAACAATCAAACAGATGTGGTTATAAATAACCACTACCTACTATCGAAATTTCTAAAAGTGGTGATAAAAATCCATAGCTTAGCGAAAATGTGGTAGCTATAAGAAAATCAAAATTATGAAAAAATTTCATCGAATCGACCCATTGTCTCATTAGTCGAGGTTTACCGGCTTGTAACACGGGTTATGCTTGTGTTTTTCTCTTTTTGCAGGTAGTTGAAGAGGGAGAGGAGCCAGAGGAGTTTCTAACTCATCTCTTTTCTTTTCAACAAATAATAGAAAGCAGAAACGGATGAGGTGATTGAGAAGCCAATAACTGTGGTTAAGTTAGATTGTGACTATAGTTCTGGTATGTATGATATTCCATTGAAATATATTGTATCATCATGTATTTAACCCTATAAGTTGAAGATAGGAATTTTCTTTTTTAATTCGTTCAGTAAAATAACAGTGGCTTATCAACACTTGTTTTTCTTTCAAAAAAAGGGAAATAATTAAACTTGTGCTGTGTTTTTACTTATCCATCCATCCATATTGCAATAATCATTATGTTCTAATATATTTTATTTTTTTCATATTTTCTTTGATATATCTTCTTTGTTTCTTAATTATATTTTTGTTAAACTAGATTATGTATTTTATAATGCATCTTTTATCTTTGTTGCTTATATTCAAAATCATTTAAATTTATCATTGATTGTATTTATATTTCTAAAATCAATTTTTTATTTTTATTTTTACATTAAATCACTCAAATCTTTCGTATTACATGAAATATACCGTCATTTTAACTTTTAGAAAGTGAAACACATGAAGCGACGTGTCAAAATTGAAGTTTAGTTCTTAGATATGTAAATACATGGGAATTGAGAGGTATGTATGTAAATTTTCCTCTATTAAATTAAATTGTATTTTATAATTTATAATTTATTTTTTTTTGTTTATAGTTAAATCACTTAATGGGATGAAAGCTTGTTGATGTATATTTATAAAACAAAAAGTTTGTTTTATTATAGTTTTATACATTTTATCAAGAGCCTATGGTGATACCATCTCATTATGTGATAATTTTAAGACATTTATTCTAATCATCAAACCATAGATTTATGTGCTTATTATCATTTAATTATTATTTTATATATAATATATTTATTTATTTTCTTAGTTTGATGATATGATGTTTATATGGCCGCCAACTATTTTAATCAATGGAACCAACATTTTAAAAGCTGGATCGAACTGGCTGTTTCAACCGGTTCGAATGTGAATCGGCTGGTGGTTTGATTCTGATTGGGCTGAAAATTGGTTCCGCACCAAACCTAAAAGAACCGGCTGGAACCGACGATTGAATCGATCAATCGGTTAGAATCGACAATCGAACCAATCAACTGATTAAAGTATAATTTTTTATATTATGTCACATTTTTATTAGAAATTATGAAGGATGGAACCAAAATTTTGAAAGCTGGATCAAACTGGCTGGTTCAACCGGTTCGAATGTGAATCGGCCGGTGGTTTGATTCTGGTTGGGCTGAAAATTGGTTCCGTATCAAACCGAAAAGAACCGGCTGGAACCGACAATTGAATAGATCAATCAGTTAGAATCGACAATCGAACCAATCAACTGATTAAATTATAATTTTTTATACTTTGTCGTTTTTTTATTAGAAATCATGAAGAATAATTTGAATTTTTTGATATCAAGAAAAATACTTCTTGCTCTAAAATCATTCACAACTTCAACGTCTTTTCAGCTTTTGTGAAATATGCATGCCTATTTGTCTATTACTTTTTTATTTTTTTACGCTTTTATATTTTTCTTTGTTATGTTTCTCTCTTGTTGGCCTTTGGTAAAATTTTATGTCATCTAAGTGATATTTAATTTTTTGTTTATATATATTCATGACGCTTGGTTCAACTCGGGTTTAACCGTTGAACCTTGAACCACCTCTTCTACTGGTTCAATGCCTAGTCCGGTTCAATTTTTTGAACCTTGAGAAGAACTGTGTTTAATCCCTATAATTGAGGACTAAAGTCCAACTTTTTTTAAAAATAATAATTAAATAATATTATTATTAATTAAGTAAACTCTAAATCTCTAATATCATCGTTAGAGATACCATTTTATTGAAAAGTATCACATAATTCAAGAAAATTAGCTAAGTGAAATTTAGGGCCTTCCATGTGTGATACCCCAAACAAGGGTTGTCCCTAAAGCTCTTTTTGCAAACAACTCATGTTCGGTTCGTCATGAAGCTCGTGTTCGTTTCGTTTGATAACCAAATGAGCCGAACATGAGTAACTTTTTTGAGCTCGGTTTATAATCGAGCCAAAAATGAGCAGACATATGTTCAATCATGCTCAACTCGTTATTATTCGAATAAGAAAATTTAATTTAAAATAATTATATATAAAAATTATAAATATAAATTAAAAATAATTATAATTTTATTAATTTAGTAAAAATAAAAATATATTTATGATTTTTATATATCCTATATCAATATAAATAATTACATATGAAAATTCTAATACCAAGTAATTAATATATTTATAATTTTAAATATCCTATATTAATATATGTTATATAAGTACATTACCTATTACAAAATCCTAAAGCCCCAATTTCTAATTGCATTTGCACTCATCGGCTTTGCCTCTTCGCAGAAACTTCGAGAATTGAAGATTGCTATTTTGAATATATAAATAAAATGCTGAATGTATGTTTTTTTTTTTTTTTTTATTTTTTAATTTATTTTTAAATTTTTTATTTATTACTATTTATTTAATAATAATGATTTGTAATCATTGAGAATTTAAGATTAGAGCCAGGGGTGTCAATTCGAGTCGGCGGGTCGGATTTAGGTTCGACCCAAATAATAAACGATTGAATTGATTGACTTGAACCCAACTCGAAAAATAGTTTAAATGTGAGTGGTGAATCAAGGAATTGAGGTTATCTCTCCTGATTTGGATCCTAAAAGCCTAGGGTTTACAAAGTGACAAATTTAACGGGACTATCAAGGATAATTTCCTTTCTTAACTCCGCTTGGCGGAAATAAAAAAAAGTTAGAACATTAAACCACTTTAGTCCCCTAAATCTAATGAAATCACGAAAACTGAGTATTTCCTTATAAGATAACACTAATCCAAAAGCAATATTAATATTCTCTTAGTTAATGAGTTTTGTCATCGTTGCTCCACTAAAGATTTTTCTGAAACTCAAAGTTCACATTGAATTTTAACAATTCAATTGACCAGATTGATTGTAAATGAATATTTAACGGATAAAATAGTGCCATAATAAAATTTCATACAACTCACATACATCGAAATAAGCCCTAAAACATATATTTACCAAAGCAGATGACATGAGAAAAAATAATTAGTGACAAATGCTGTGGAACAATAAAAAACACATTGTATTAATCAAAGTAAATAAAGTACATAATTGAGAAAGAAAGACCAGAAAAAGCTAGACCCTTAAGCTGCTAATTCATTCTCCAGTCTTTTCCTGATTTAGTGATGATAACTAACTCTTCTAGACAGTCCTCTAGAATCGTCTCTCATAGATCCCCTCACAATTTCTCTGACTTTCCCTTCATAGATTAAGAATAACATGCTCATTTAAGGAATTGTGGCTTGGTTCCAGTAGGAGGCCTCCTTGGCACAAGGCGCACCAGTGTTGGGAGGGGCTGCTTTGGTGCCCCATCTATGGTAGCCAAAGTGTCAGGCGCTTTGTTGGGTGCGTCGTGCTGGGCGCTTGGGTGGTTCATAGTTGCCCAATATGTTTCCTTGATGCCACTCTAGGTAAACTGGATTCAAACGTCGTTGGATCTGTGTTGAAGTTGCTTTCTTCCATTTCACTCTAATATCAGACTAATGCATCTTTAAGCTCTCATAATTACCTGCATCATGTAATTTGCACATAAAGTACTTGAATAAGCATAAATAATAACAAATAATTGATACACATGCAATAAAATTTTAGACAAAGTATCACATATTTTCCACATATCAGAGCACTATCAATTCACAGTTTTATCACTATAGATATGTTAAAAATATCTTGTGATATGTCACCCAAATCTATCTTGAACCGATTCTGAGACCAATTCTCGACTAATGGATATCCTAAAAACAACATGATTCTGAGACAGTCATTAGACACACCGTATACCTCAACCAGATTCATTGAATCCACCTACTAGACTGACCTGCCGGATTGAACTCATTATTTGAAAGTGCTAAATATCATCCAACTAGGAGCTACGATGCTCTTCAAACTTGCCTGTTTGGCTCATTCATTTTTCCTCAAGATTGACAAAAAATCAAAGTGAGGATTAACGTTGAAGGGATTGATATATGCTTCATCATTATTTATAAACTGTTTGACATTTACATCACAACCCTTTCAGCAAGACACTGCGGATAGGTTTTGTACCATACAATTCATAATTTTATACATTTCTCTCTTTATGTATTGAAATGGGGAGAGGTTGAGAGGAGAGGCTCTGGGATCTCTAACTTTTTCTCTCTCTCACTGTTATTTTTAGTAGGAGATTAAATCCTCTCCTTCGTCTTATCGAAGGAAGATCAACATAGATACAACGAATCCGGGTCTGTAGAATACCTCTATCCATTTCTTTAACATTCTCTATACAGGTCTTCTCCAAGTTGTATAAACCCACAGACGTAATGAGATCTTACGTCCTAAAAGAATTTATCATAATGTAAATATGAAAATTTAAGGGTTAGATAAGCAAAGAAACAATAATTATAAGGCATGCATGCGTATGTCCCTTGAATTAAATGAGCCTTTTGTTCGTTAAATAGATCAATACTTTATTTTCTCTTAATATCATGGTACATGAACTTCTCTATTAAAAGGAAAGAAAAAGCCCGATTCATAATACTTAAGACATAAGATTAGTTAATTTGCTTACTATTTGTATTTGTGCTATTGATGCTAATCATATTTATCAACATAATATGAGTTTTATAATGAAACGGTAGGACATTATACTTTTGTTATGTTACGATCATAATATTACAATTATCAATGAATCAAACTCGATATAAATCAAATAAAAGAGTGGTATAACACTCAAAATTTTAAGATTTATACATTTAACTTCTAAATTTTATTATTTAAAAATCTAGTACTTTGCTAGTTTCATTCACGAATCTTTCGAATCACTTGTTGGATGCAAGTCTGGAGTCCGGATGTAAAGTGATGACTTATTCGAAGGCAATTTCAAAAGTGTGCGAACTTTGGTGACAAAGTGTGTGACGGTACAATGTTGCGACTAGAAATTACGATAAGTGTTATTTGTAAATTTATATTGATGTTTTCAAGTGCTATATGTGCAAATAATAAAATCTAAATGTTAAATATATCTATTTTAATGTTCATAATGTAATATATTTAAATCGCTCTCATTAAAAAAAAAAAACCTTATTTTTTGCCAATTTTAATAGTTAATTTCAATAATAATGAATAAAAAAATAGCTAAATTATTAAATTATTATCCTTTAAAAATACATCCACCCTTTCTCCCTCTTATCCTCTTCCTCCTCCTCAGCTATCATCGCCCCACTTCTAGCTTCACCCATGGCGGCCGCTCCAGTGCTCAAGCCCGCCATATCCGGCCTCTATCTCGCAAATCTCTCAGCTCCCTTCGGATCCAAGTCCTCCTCCCACTCTCTCATTCCCTTCCCCGCAAAACCTACTTGTTTCCTCCGACTCTCCTGCTCTTCTTCCCGGCTTTGCCTAGCAAAAAGAAAGGTTCCTTCGGTGGTTTCTTTCGTAGCCCGGACCTCCGATTGGGCGCGCCAGGATGAGGAGGAGGAGATTGGCGACGAGGAAGAGGACATCGAGTGGGAAGGCGAGAATGAAGGGTTTGGGTTGCTGGACGGGGAAGGGCCGGAGGATGGGTTTTCGGAATGGGAAGGGGGGAATCGAGGAGTGAAGGGGGGTGTGGATGCGGTGATAGCTGGGGGCGATAAGGGAATTAATGAGGGGGATTTGGAGGAGGAAGGGGATGATTCTTTCCCCGAGCCTCCAGAGGAAGCTAAGCTCTTCGTGGGGAATCTGCCTTATGATGTGGATAGCGAGAAGCTAGCTCATTTGTTCGAGAAGGCTGGGATCGTTGAGGTTGCTGAGGTAAATTTGCTAACTTGAGTTAATTTTCTTTTTCTTTGATCTGAAATACAGCTTTTCATGCACAGTTCATGTGGCATATATGTTAAAATTGAAGCTTGGGTGTTAGATTTGTAAATACATAGGAATTGAGTGGTATGTATGTAAATGTTACTATATATTGATGTTGATGCTGTGGTTTGTATTGGGCTATGCAGCTTGAGGATAATGCTTGTTGTTTTAGAAGGTGGTGTTATGGAGGATGTTGAGTATCTTTTTGGCTGGCTACTGGTAGGATTTAGTGAATTGTGGTGGTGATGAATCATAAAAAAAAAGTATTTACATACACAGTGTGTAGACATTATGTTTTACATTTTTCATACCTAATCTTCGTCCGGCACATATTTAACATAAATACCACAAAACTCTCATGTATTTATGTGTCTAACACACTAAGTTTGATATTTTAAACTTACAACACTTTAGTGTCATAAACCCATGTGTGAAAAGGTGTATTTTACTTTTAAAAAGACAAAGATGGTCGTATTTTTTATGTAATGTTAGACATTTGAGCGGTGTGCATGTAAATATCATTATCTAGGTATCACATATGTAAATGCATAAGAATTCTATGGTATGTATGTAAATGTCCCTGTAAAATAACTCTTATCCTTGATTCTAATCAGCCTCTTACAATGGGTATCCAACGAGTGCCTGATTCTGTTGGCCCTGTTTTGTCGAGCGAGTGTCTGACAAGCATTTTGTCTTAATCAACTTCTTTTGTTGAGGGTTCAGCGAACCGGTTAACGGAATTAGTCGAGAGCTATATGTTGTAAATAACAAAGTTTAAATGTTAAGTATGTGAATTCTAAATGTTAAGTCTGTAAATCCCTCAAAATTTTTTGGCATGTTAGATGTTCAATTTGGTTAAATTGTAATTAACTAATTTTCACATATTTTCAAGATTTAGGATATAAATGAAGGAGAAGAAAAGGTGTAATGAGGGGGAAGTGGTGTGAATGACTTAAATTTTACTTCACTTGAGATTTACTAAATCATGATTTTAGTTTAAAATGGAAGAATCCGACACCACTTAGTGGGATAAAGGCTTGTTATTGTTGTTG